AGTCCAGTGGAAAATCCCTGGGAGCGGACATAATTTCAGCCGTAGTCTACAAGTTCGGCGATCCACAACACATGGAAAAGCTTATCCCACTATCCTAAGCAACGTGGTGGCAAGGACACAGTCTTTAGGGCATCAAGTATGCCACTATCGTGCACGTCTAAAAGCACACCGGGAACTGACAAATATTTGATAGTCACATAAACATCTCCCTTCCCAACGTTGTCCGGAAAATCTCCCTCGCCGTAGTACACAAATGCATGAACCTGGAACTGGAGCGGGAAATTCTTCGAGAAATGCATTGCGGAACTACGGACGTGACCTTTGCGGCCCGCCAACTGCCGTGCCAAGAAATGAAGAGAAACTCCTACATCATCCAATCCTATTTGGCAATATTCCTCGACAGTTAATTGCCACGCACTCCGAAGAATCGTCCTGAAATCCTGATGTTCTGAGAAAATTTCAGAAATGGCAGGATATGTACACAATGTGATGATGTCTCTCGTCATGGACAATGGGCCAGTTTCCAAAGCATTCGCAGTGAACAGTGGGCGAAGCATATTTGCCTAGTTGCCCCGCCCTATTCAGTTTCGAGTTATCTTCTAGACCGACGGACGCCTACCTTGAAGAGCGGCAGTGTTTCGACATCAAATACAATGGAAAACTATTCAACGTCAGTTCCCTAAGATCCTATTCGGAGGCAGCTAAAGACGGCGAATACAACCTGGTGTTTACGGATGAGTACGCTCTATCCACGTAGCGCGAGATGACCTGCAGCGACTTTTGGACTTCCAGATGTTCGTCCGCTCCACCTTAGAAATAAATATCAATACAGAGAGGGCAGTGGTCCTATATCAACGGGAGCTACATGCTGACTACACCGAACCGCGTGCAAATGTCTGTGGAACCTGTCTCTACAGCGGAAAAATTTGCGTAGCATGCTATGAAAGGACACAACTGGTCTTCAATAAAAATCATTATTATTAAAAAATAATTGTTATGTGTTAAGAATGTCCACAATCCCAAAAAAATCAGACTGTTTCCCCGGAAAACACATACGGGCGTCCCTCTTGCGTGCTGTCTACGCGTTTTCGATAGCGTTTCGCCATTTCCTGCAGTCACAGTGATTTCTTGGAACATGACTGGTCCGTATATACAAGAAGTTGCTGGGCTCTTATACTCGTTTCTTATTGAGCAGGATTGCACATAATTCTAGGCGACGGGATGCTTTAAACTCATAGTTTTTTAGTGAGAGTGACGTGCAGTTTTCACCATATTTTTGCCGTGGCCGATCCAGATTTTTTCTCTATCCCGTTGACCGTTTGGGACTACAGTCGAACGCGAATATATTTTTTATCCGAGTATCAAGACCGAACGCAGCGCCCTCAGTGCAAAGTTTCGAGGAACACCTAGACCGACGACAAAGTCGCAAGTCAGACCCCCAAAGCCAGCAAAGCCTTCGGCATTCGCAGCGCCATACACATCTCAAAACTGGGGATATACGTGACTGATGCCCTGACAATGCCTTTCTACGGGCGAAATCGTAAACTGCCCATGAAGACCAAGCAAGAAACCTCTATCGTTTTCATTTCAGATTCCTCTGAAGGATAGTAGGTACAAACTGACAGGAAACGATCCCAGATAATGAGATCCCGGAAAGGGTCGGCGTCCTCAGTATCCAGGCCATATGGTGCAAATGCAACTGTGATGGAGCTGCCACGTGGTGGGGGTGGTTGACGAGCGTCTGCCCAAGTGCTGCTCTACGGCGACGTGTCTGAGGGTGATTGCAGACAAGGCGGACAAAAGCGTCGCTAAGAGGAAATCGTGAAGGCCTCTCAAGCATCTGCAAATCAACCCCGAGACGTGGGAGGACCGTGGTCCAGATCGACAGGCATGACACACTGCTGCAAAATTTGGAGCAGTCATCCTAAAAGCCAACTGAAAGACGGCTATCAAGGCCAAGTGACGGACCTTATAACATGCTCTGGCGACAGGGTCCTGACCGAAATTCTATTGACTGTCCTGCGTTCTGCGACAAAGGTCGGCTCGTCGGAACGCAGTTGTGCTGGCTTCCATAATTTCCCTGCCCCTCATCTTTGTTTAAAACGATTCCGCGTTAAACTTATCCACCCTCCATGGTAATATTTTCAGGCATGTTGCCTTTACGGCCTGACTAATTGTCTTAGCTGATTAAGCCCCAAGCCTTCCGACAGTACAATCCTCCACATATCACTTGTCATGAGCTCGGACCAGGGCAAAAAGCCATTGAATTTCATTCCGTTGACCTTTAAAAGAAATACACCACCCAGTCTGTTTATCGGGCTTCAGTCAGTACAGCCAGCACGCTTCCTAACCTTGCTGGCGACTATTGTTTTCTGAGACGGCATAACAGGGTTTTGTACCGAAAAATTCCTCCTTTCTAAACAGGAATTTGCCGGATGATTGCGGTGCTTGCGGTATACAGAATATTTAGGCGATGCAAGCAGAGGATTCCAGATGATCTAAACTTGCGACTGCCTGGCCTGACTGGGCTCAGTGGTCATGAAATGTCCACTCTGGACTTCACTTACCTGGTTCTCCTCTACAAATCAGAGTGTCGATAGGTAGGAAAATGCGGTCATCGAGCACCACAGTACTTTCAAATGCTATTAAAACAGTCATCTACACAAGCCCGATTCATCACTTGGGCCAAGCCGTGAACTGTGATCACCCATTACTACTGAGGCTAATACTTGTGACAACTTTCATACACTCAAGGTATTTTATGTTAATACCCATGCCATTCCAACATTTTAGCAATGCCTACTCGGTGTCTCAAAGCTTAATTTCGGATGATAATTAAGTTTCCCGCTGACAGATTCATCTGATGGAGGATTCATTTGGATGTTCTGCGTCGTACACTTTCTTGCCTCATGCCACAGGCTTATGAGTTCCGCAGTCTACCCAGACAGGCGCTCTCAGTCAGAACTAAGTGATGTCGGTAGCCTATTTTACAACAAAAGTAGGCTCGGATTTACCGTACTTGCTATAGCGTAAATGTTGAATGTTGTTCCATAGTACATGGTACGGGCATGCACACCGTCGTTTGGATGCGTGATTATAAATGCGAACTCGAGTGAGTACCCTGATTTATTTATTATTTTTCGGAGTTCATATCAGTTAACCTTGTCTCCGGCTTCTAAGGCAACCATAAGGATCTCTTTAAGGCAGGTTCACAGACTGTCAAAGTTCTCTTAAAGTTGCGCAACAGCAACAGTGGAGCTGTCTAGATCTAATGAGAGTGTCAGCAAAATCCAATTTCGTCTTCACCTTTGTAGGTCATTTTTTATAGTTTCCCAGTCGCTGTGTTTTCTTAGAAATTTTAGTCGCACAGTCTGGGGATCGTCCTGTTCGCAAATTCTACCCGGAAGTTTGCAGACAGACATGAAAGTCTGTAGCAAAGTTTGGCTAGGCACGGGTCGGACTTGAGATTTAGAAATCGTCAGCGCTTCTTTTTAAATTAAAGTTATGCGACTGCGGATGCCGCCATACTGTTTTTGCGCAACGATTCGGTCCCTGTAGCCCTTCAACCATAAAGCTTAAGTGTGATTGACACAGGGCAGCAAAGAGAATGTAGATTCTCGCCCATTTTTTCCGAAATAATCGCTATCTGCCATTCTGAGCTCAAATCCTGAAGAAAATTTCACCTTGTTAACTGAAATTCTTGAGCCTGTTAATGTTTCTATCGGGTTTGAATCCAATTTCCAAATTATGTTCCCTCCGGCTGAAGAGGCGACCGAAAAATGACGTCGTTTTTCCCGGGAATGTCCAGACAAAGGAGTGTATTTCAATAAGTTAATGTCCGACCGGACACCCATTAAAGATCATAGGTTATGAGGTACAGAATCCGGACTAAAGTGGTACATACTTGCAAAACTATATGGGGACACAAAGCAAAAAGATAACTGCGACATATAAAATAAATGTAGCAATGAAGGAGTTCCGGTGTGACCAAAAATTCCAAGTGTAAATAGCTATAGTTAGAAAGAGAGGAAATGTAGCTAAAGGGAATGCGATCGAAAAAGGTGGCGCCAGGAAAACCAGATGTGTCTGACAGTCTGATATTCGTAAGTAACGACGTCTACTTCTAACATGGCAGTCCGACCGTCGTTACTGCCAGTTTCCGCGTGTAGGAGTGTCCAGCGATGATCCACGTGACGGTCGAAGTAGGTCGCTCCCTTGCTTGCATGTGCAGACTACGCCTAGCATCCATTTGCTGGCACCCAACTCTCGCATGTGGTTCTCCGAAGCTAGGCTCTGCCTAGCGGCCACACCCCGGCAACCGCCTCGAGCGGCAGGCTGAATCAGGTGAGGGCATCCGTGTGTGCATCTGCGCAGACGGCATTGTGGACTCCGCCGGGCGGCTGGTCGGTTGGAACTTCGCATCGGCATCGTCGAGACGAAGCTCCGTCTGTTGCAACGTAGGAGTCCACAGGCTTACGGTAATCTCATAAGCTCTTCAGGCTACCTCGGACCGTTCTTCAACTACACCAAAGAACTGGCCCATAGTGGAGCTCGGCAGCGTCTGACAATACCGAGCAGCCCAATTTATGGAGGCATTGCTTGCTCCCGCAAGGGGGAAGCGGCTCGAACAGGGGCTTGCAGACGTTAAACTCACGGTCAAAACAACTAACAAAGAAATAACAACAACAACACACTCGCTTCCCCTTCCTGTATCCTTTTTCCCCCTCCTCCTCCTCCTCCTCCTCTTCCCCCCGTCGCCGTACTCGCCCGACTGACAGGGTGCATCCGCTTACTCTGAAAGACTGGAATACTCATTCCCTTTTAGACCATTCTAGGAGCAACCGACCGGGATGGAGGACAGCGCTAGTGGCTCAGGAACTGGCGCGCTACAAGGTGGACATCGCTTCACTCGGCGAGACCTCCTTCTCCGAACAAGGCTAACTGGAGTGGGTAGGTGCCGGTTACACCTTCTTCTGAGGCGGTCGGCCTAAGGCAGAGCGATGGGACGCGGATGTCGCCTATGCCATCCGGAACGACATCGCGGGACGATTGCCCTGTCTGCTACAGGGCACCAACGATCGTCTGATGAGCCCCCGCCTGCCTTTCCTTGGAGGCTAATTCGCCACCATCATCAGCTTCTACGCTCCGCCGATGACCAGCCCGAAACCGCAAAAACTAAATTCTACGAGGACCTGCACGCACTCATAGCGACCGTGTCGAAGGCGGATAAGTTGATTGTCATTGTTGACTGCAACGCCCACGTCAGCACAGATCATGCTGCCTGGAGAGTAGTGCTAGGCCCCTATGGTCTCCATGGCTACAACGATAATGGCCTGCTCCTTCTACGAACCTGCGCAGAACGCCGACTTATTCTGACGAACACCTTCTTCCGCCTCCCGATGCAAGCGAAGGTCGCCAGGATGTACCCTCAGTCGCGACACTGGCACCTGCTGGATTATGTCCTCGTCCGGAGGCGACACCAGCGGGGCGTGCTGGTGACAAAGGCGAATCCGCGTGCTGACGTGTGGACCGACAATCGCCTCGTCATCTCGAAGATGCGGATTTGCCTGCACACTCGCAGGAGATCACAAGGTAAGCGGCCCCCATGTAAGCTGAATATTGCCTTGTTGGCTTTGCCTTCTCACCATGTCCATTTCAGAAACTAGCTAGATCAGCGGCTAGACAATCTTTCAGTCACTGCCGCAACCGCCGCCGCTGACGAGAACGCCTGCGTGGAGAACCGGTGGTGTCAACTGCGGGACACTTTCCAGTCGACGGCGCTGGCCGACCTCGATCGCGCACGCCGTCAGCACCAGGACTGGTTTGACGACGACGACGACGAAGACGACGACGACGACGATGACGACGACGACGACGACGCCGCTATCAGCAAATTGCTCGCAGAGAAGAACCGCCTGCACAAAGCCTATGTCGGCCGCCTCACCGACAACAACACAGGTGCTTTCTACTGTAGTCGTCGCCTTGTACAACAGCGGCTGCGAGAGATGTACGAAGCACAGACGGTTCGCAATACCGAGAAGACTCTTGGGTACGCGGACCGCAACGAATGAAAGCACTTCTCCACGATCAAAGCTGTCTACGGTCTGCCAGCTAAAGCAGTTGCACCTTTTCGCAGCGCCGACGGCAGTACCCTACTCACCGAGAAGGCACAAATTCTACAACGATGGGCCGAGCACTTCAGAGGCGTCCTCAACCGTCCGCCCACCATCTCCGACACCGCCGTCATCCGTCCGCTTCAAGTGGAGACCAACGCCGACCTCGACCTCCCGCCCTCTCTCCACGAACCCATGAGGGTCGTGCAGCAGCTCTCCAGCGGGAAACCGCCCGGATCGGACGCAATCTATGCTGAGATCTACAAACACGGTGGCTCCCAACTCATGGATCACCTGATTGTGCTCTTCCAGGAGATGTAATAATAGGGACAAGTCCCGCAGGGTTTCAAAGACGCAACAATCGTGCACCTATACAAACGAAAATGAAACCGCCAGCTCTGAGACAACCATCGAGGCATCTCCTTGCTCAAAATCACCTTAAATGTCTCTGCTCGCACCCTTCTCAACCGTCTGAACAACCACCTAGAACAAGGTCTTCTGCCGGAAAGCCAGTGAGGCTTCCGCCATCATCGTGACACCATGGACATGATCTCTGCCGCCCGTCAACTTCAGGTGAAGTGTCAGGGGATGCGGATCCACCTGTACTCTACCTTCGTGGATCTGACGAAAGCCCTCAACAGGGTGAATCGCGAAGGATTGTGGAAAATCATGCATAAATTCGGCCGTCCCGAGCTCCACGATGGCATGATGGCGCGCGTCACGGACAACGAATTTGTCTTAAAGGCATTTGCAGTGACCAGCAGAGTGAAGTAGGGCTGCGTCCTGGCACCCACCCTCTTCAGTCTTGTGTTTTCTGCTATGCTGGTGGACGCCTACCACGACGAACTCCCCGCGATCCGCATCGCCTACCGGACGGACGGCACCTACTGAACCGCAGACAGATACACTTACAGTTGCGTGTTTCCACAACCACCGCCCACGAACTTCTCTTCGTCGACCACTGAGGCCTCAACACCACCTCGGAAGAGGACATGCAAAGGGGAATGGATATTTTCTCCAACGCCTGTGAGAACTTTGGTCTGGTCATCAACACGGAGAAGACGGTGCACATGAACCAACCGCCACCCAACTCAGCCCATAATGGCCCGCAAATCAGCGTAAACGGAACCCAACTGCAAGTGTTTGGCAACTTCCCGTATTGGGTTGCACGGAAATCGACCACAAAGTAGCCCTCCGGATTTCGAAGGCCAGTCAAGCCTTCGGTCGTCTTCAACGACGGAATTATTCTGCGCTCCAACTGGGACAATTTCGACTTGGTTACCATTCCACAGTTACAGTCTCTGACATTGATACTGGAACCGTACGTACAGAATTACTTTGTGCATTTTTGGAATATTTTTTCACGCATCGAAATTCGCCAGGAACCTGGATTAAGTGCAATTTGTTTATCAGCACGGTCCAACTGACAACGCAACTGGCTACGCAACCGATTCGCGGATATACAGCCTAGAAAACCAATCGCTCAAAATCCTTCAAGGTCTGCAGTTATTCAAGTCCCACGAGATCTGGAAAGGGCTAAGTCGCTTCTGATTAAAATCAACAAAATTTATCGGATTTTAAGTATTTTTCGCTTATTGAGTTTTGAATACTCACTTTAATTCATCATATATAAGCCGACGTATTCGTTATAACATCGAAAGCGAAATTATACCTATTATATCACGTCGAAGTTTATGGATTCTCAGCAAGCTAACTGTAGTAGTACGGCCAGCGACGGCACCTCTTTGGAAGATAAGTCCGGTGAGTTGTCCTTCGCATCCAGAACCTGTGCTCGCTCTACCTTCGCCTCCAGCCAACGACCAGCAAAGCGTGCAAAAAGCGTAAATAGCGCAAAAAGTGTGAGGTACGAAGACGAGCCTTGTGGTGGGTGCGCAGATATTCAAATCAAAGTAGAACAACTGGACAAGGAGCTTGCTGATTTAAGGACGCTCGTGAAACAGACCGCAGTCGGCCAGAACGTGTCCAGTGTTAGAATCCCAAAAACGAAGAGCAGAACGCAAAAAACACGCAAAAATATCTCCTCGGGGGAATCTTCAAACACGAGTTGCAACTCAACAGCCAAAACCGCAGACGCCAGTAACAGCAGGGCAATGAAAACGAAGCTGCCGATAAAGGGAGACTCGATTCCCACACACGATGTCTTAAGCGATGTCGCAAAAACATTACCTGTCGCGGAAGCCATCTCACCTAAGCCTCTTGCTGTAAGTGATGGGATTTCTCTTCTGCCCGGAGACGATATACCTGGGTCATCCAGTCTACTGTTGCCCTCTTGTTCTGGCAACCACCTTGAACGCACTATAGAGCACTATCTGAATGCGAAGACATAAACCCGTGGGTAGAGGGAAGAGGGAAACGCCATGACAGGATTCTGAAGTCACAGCCAGCCCTGATGGGTTGCTCGGGACAGACGGTAGACGGTAAAAGTGTGCGTTCAAGCGATGACTCCGTAAATCGTCCTCGCTCACATGCAGCGCATTCACCGGAAAGACGGAGTAAGGAGGACCATGCTCGCCAGCAGTGTCTGGTTATTTAGGGTTTGTCAGAATCGAGTGCAGTCAGACCTGAAGACCGTGTCTCAGAGGACCTTGCTTCTTTTCATGGTCTGCTAAATCATTTACTGCCGGCAGACATGGAAATAAAGGTTCTGAAAGCATTCCGGATAGGAAAAAGGAGTGAAGACAGGACAGTAGCACAACCACCTCGCCCTCTCAAAATTATGCTGGAGAACAAAGAGCAAATCAGGTTTGTCCTCTTTAAAAAAACCGATCTCAGAAACACACACAAACAGGTTTTTTTTTCAACCGGACTATTCACCAGCGGAACGGTTGAAACGCCGGGAACTTGTCTTGGAATAAAAATCAAGACTGAAGGATGGCGAACACAATCTGGCTATCTTTAGGGGAAGGTAGTTCGGAAATATATACCGTTTCAGTGGAGCCAGCCTGTAATACTACGAACGACGACAGCTACTCAGCTAAAACAGACACCTTCGTTGAACCACCTGATCAAGGCGCCAACACAAGTGAGCCCGTAGCGTCCAGTGATCTGACTGAAACAAGGCATGTAAATGGAACCAATCAGGCAACGGAAGAGCCTAGAGAACACGACGTCCGCGATAACGGAGTAATGCTCACAGCAGTAACAAATGCAACGGGAAATTCGGCTGGTGCTAAACTGAGGTGCTTGTACGCGAATGCCCAAAGCCTCATATCGAAACTAGACGAACTAAAACTTTGCCTTGTTGAGCTGTCTCCAGATGTTTTAGCAGTAACTGAGATCTGGCTGTCCGGGAATATTAGCGATAACGAAGTAGCCCTGCCTGGATACCAAATTTATCGGAGGGACAGGGAACATCGTCAGGGTGGTGGTATCGTTGTGTATGTGAATGACGGTCTGGCAGTGTCGGATAACACCACCAAGTTTGCGTGCAGTACGGAAGCTATCTGGTTGACCATCAAAGCTACCGGTTCCCCGTGTCCCGATGTCCTCACTGTCTACCGACCACCTAGGACAGACCAAATTGCCGACACTCAACTATTGGAGCAGTAAGAGAAATTTTCCAGTGGACCTAACATCTTGATCATGGGCGACTTCAACGCACCTGGAACAAACTGGAATACCCTCCAAGCGTCAGGTCCAAAATCGGCATTCGATTACCATCTGCTGAACAAAACAGTAAATGCGTGCCTCACACAACATGTAATGTTCCCAACGAGAACACGTTGGGAACACGACGCAAACCAGGCAAACTGCCTGGTTCTGGTCTTTACGAAAACACCAGACATCATAGACGAGATCGTCTCCATGCCGCCCCTTGGCCGAAGTGACCACACAGTGCTTATGTGGGATTATTCGTTTTTCTCCATTTCACATACTCCAGACCACAAATGGCGTAATGTTTGGCGGGGCAACTTCAATCAGATGAGGGCAGACTTATCCGGTCTTGACTGGTGCTCATTGTTTACGGGAAGTGCCAACGATGACTGGGAGCTGTTCAAGAATGTCCTTCTGCAGCTCATCAACAACCACTGCCCACTGACTAGTGTAAGACTGAACAAACGCCTTGGGTGGCTAAATAGCAACCTTGAGAAAGAAATCAACAGGAAGCACAAATTGTGGAGAAAATACTGCGTCACTAGACAAGCTGAATGCTTCAACACCTACAAGACACAGATGAACAAACTGAGGAAGCTGATAATGCAGACGCGGCGGGAATTCGAGAAGAACTTGCTACAAAAGCAACGCAGAACCCAAAATTGCTCTACAGCTACCTCCGACGAAGTACAAGGAGCAGGCATCAAATCCACTTGATAAAGACTACTGATGGCGTTGAGATCGCTGATAGTAGGGATAAAGCTGCGTATTTTTCACGGTTTTTCCAATCAGTCTACACAAACGAGGCAAGGTTCCTTCCTCCCTCCACAGAAGAACTGCCGACTCCAGGCGTCAGTGATATACTCTTCTCAGAAGGCATTGTCCGAAGAGAATTAGAGGCATTGAACGAATCGAAGTCGCCAGGACCAGACGAGATTCCATCCAAGCTTCTGAAGGAACTTGCCAGTGAGCTCTCTGTGCCTTTGTCAATGCTCTTTCAAACGTCATTTTACACTGGAATACTTCCTATCGATTGGAAGCTGGCGCATATTACTCCGCTACACAAAGGAGGTAACAGGGCAGCGACGACAAATTACTGGCCCATAAGCCTGACATGCATTCTCTGCAAAGTTATGGAAAGGATCATAAAGACTGAACTGATGCAATTCCTGGAAGTTCACGGCCTGCTATCGAAATGCCAACATGGGTTCCGAAAAGGAAGATCCTGCACGACAAACCTGCTGCAATCTCTCCAGAGCTGGACCCGAGCTCTCGACGACAGGCACGCGGTCCACATAGCCTTCATCGACTTACAGAAGGCTTTCGACACTGTGCCACACCAAATGCTCTTACATAAGCTGAAAAAAATAGGGATCGGTGGCAACTTCCTTAAATGGATCGAAAACTTCCTTGTGGGTCGACACCAGGTTGTGTGCGTCGGTCGGGGAAAATCAGATCCGGCTATGGTCGAGAGTGGTGTCTCCCAGGGTTCAGTACTGGGACCCATTTTGTTCCTTGTCTACGTTGACGATGCCGCAAGAGATTTAGACTGTGAAGTAGCAATGTTTGCGGATGACATGAAGATATGGAGTGTAATTCGGGGTCCTGCCGATGAAGACAGACTGCAGATAAACCTGAATCGGTTGGAGGAGCGGTCAAACCGTTGGCTCCTGCGGTTCAACGTTGCCAAATGTAGCATACTTCGC